GTTACCAGTGGCCATCACCGACTTGTAATGCCCGATTCTACTTGCGGTTTTCAGTATTGACGTCCACCATCTCAGCTACGGTCCACGCTTTTGCAGTTCGAGCGACGTCGCGACTGAAAATAGCGAACAGAATCTCATCGTGGGAGTCAGACTTTAGCGCCCAATCTGCGGCGTCCACGTGAAATGAATCGCCGCACGTCACATTATTCACGCAAAGTATTGCCTCGTTAGTTTTCCTGAAGCCGCTCAAGTAGTCAGACATTGTTAGCAGGACGTAAAATCAACAATTCCAAACGCGAAAAAGAGCACGGGGACTCCCACCGACGCCGACAACAACGCAATTCAATGGTTTGTTTATGGGCGACGGCGGGCTTTTTGCCCACCATCCACCGCGCATGCGCGGCGCCGGTGGCGCCCGCCAGGGGCGCTCCGGTTTGTTTGTAAAGGGCTTCACCCTATGCCTACCGAAGACAACATAGATTTAATAAAGTCATTGGGTTTTAGAGACAGCGAAGGGAGAGTGGATTTCAAGACTGTAGAGATTACCAAGCAAAGATTAAGTGAATGGTGTCAGAAATCGAGAGAAAACTAGGTATTTTCTTATCCACTGATGGCAAGGGGGTTTCATAGCCTCACTTTCTTTGCACTGCGGAGTGAATATAGATTTCACATTTAAATATTCTAAGCTTAAATGGTAAAACAAAATGGCTAGGTGGCGTAAGCTACCGCCCGATCCAAAGGGCTCAGCCGTATTCATCCATCCATCCATCCAAACATGAGTTGGTGTATAACCGAGCAACGGTGTCCCGATGACCGGAGGATTGTTGCCATTCAACCCCATGGCTCTAATGAAGTTTACGAGTTTAAAACAGAGAAGAAAGCGCGAACAAAGTTCGGGCAATGCATATACACCCAACACCGGCGAAGCCTCTCATCCCAGAGACTTTCACTCTTTCTACCGCCCCAGCAAGGGGAAAAGTGACGGTAGCCCCTTCCCCTCTTCTCTCTCGCCCTCTTTCAGTAAACGGTCTAGTCGCGTCTCCAGCTCGTTGCTCGTTCTCCCGCGGCGGAAACGGGAATCGCCCTAGTGAGGGTCCCCCGATTCTTCTGCATGTTCAGCGGGCACGGCAAAACTGCGGGCGGTCACGGCGGAACTGCGGGCGGTCACGGCTCGCGAAATGGCATTTCTGAAAGCAAACAACACTCTTCATTGTCCTAACGTAGTGCTGCAGCCGGTACCGAATTGTATCTCACTAGAGAGTTTTAGTATCGCGTAGAGAAGCGAACGCAAGCGCTGTGCGTGCGCCTCGTCGCCAATCCAAGACCGCAATTTTGGGTTCCGCGCACGCGCAGTGTGGAACATGCAAAGCTAACGTAAACACACAGCGCTTGCTTTCGCTCGTATACGCAATACTAAAACTCACAACTGTTTCATCGGCTTCCAACGCCAACGCAACGAGCTGCAGTGAGCAGACGTGCAAGCAGGTAGGCGTTCCTTCGAACTGGAAAGGCTGAGGTTGGCAAAACGACGGCACGTAGAAATGAAAGAGCTAAATGTTATTAAAAATTATTAATGAATTAATAATAATGTTATTAAAAATAAAAATTAATTTTGGTGCATTTGGTCTGGAAGGAGTTTGGCGGCTATTTTGTAACTCCTGCCGTTTGTAAAAAGTCGCGACTTTGATAGCAAAATATGCTTTACCCAAAATTAAGGTAATTTTACATAAATTTCTAAATTAACGAGAATTTTTTTATTGATTTTAGACTTCTTATTTCTATAACTTTGCAATTAATTAAAAATGCTGCATTTGGCACCGGTGATTATAATCAGCTTTCTTTTGATTGTCATACTTGTTGGCGCGTTTGAAATTAGATCATAAGCAACAAATTATATTAGAACTTGAAAAATTGCGTAATAAAATATCTGAATTTTAATATTATTATTATTAATACAAATCACTGCAATGTATGCCCCCAATTAACGCCACGATCACAAAAATACGCCATTTAAACATGATAGCCTTTCCGGAAAGGACTCATTTGTCGTTTTTCTATTTAGCATATGAAAAACTCTGACATCGTTATCAAGATAGACAAACAGTCAAACACTGGATGCAATACACAGCCCTATGCGTCATGCGTCAGAAAACTCTCACACTTCAGCTGTCTGACTCAGATTCAGTCTTTGGGGTATTGTAGTGAGAGCAGCGTTTATTAATTTATACGTTTTCTGGACAGATTGTAAAAATTGGACTGTTGCTGTTATTCTTGCGCTAAGAATAATGTTAAAGCAATTAATCATCTAAATACCGAAAAAACATTAAAAGGGCGCAGTTCATTAAGTCACATGACAATCATCTGAGTGAGAAAAGGTAGCGAGAACGCATAAATATCAGCACTGATTTTTTCATCAACTACAATATATGTTACCTCTAAGGTGTATGAACGACCCTGTCTTTGAAGGGACACTGAAATCTCCAAGACATTTTGAAATGCCTTTATCGAACATGTATATCACAAAATAGTTTCCGCGAACAACTTCTTGAACTAAATAATTACGATGTGAGACATATCTTGAGATATAAAAAAAAAAAAAAATCGAAATTAAAACCAATATCGAGAAATTAAATCCCAAATAGAGGTTAGTTTCGGTTTTCAGTCCAGAATCAAAACGTGCCTCCTGGAGTAAGTATTACGCTAAACACCGTTTTAGTTTTCCGGATAAAGGGACGACCTGAGCTTACACTTGCTTCCTGATATTACCAGAAATAATTTGTGTCGCTCAGTGAAGCCAGCACACTAGAGAGGCTCAGCAGCGGCACGCATCTCTGACCCTCGCTATAACTGCCATTTTGGAAAACGAGTGGCGCCACCTATAGTGAGTTGGATTCGCAGCGGATCGTCGTGAGCCGTCGAGGTGACCGTGGGCCAGAGCTGAAGTTCCTTTCCTCTGTGGTATTTATCTTTGCCCGTTTTCGAGTAAATACGGCAGTAATGAGAAATAAAGATCGGATGAAAATTGTCAGTGGGGTGGGGTCCCGTAAGGCACGTCACGACCCACAATGATACGATATTTCTCCTATCGTAGCGGAAGTTGCGCACCAGATGGCGCGACCCGTCAGGGCGTACTCCATTGCAAGGTCTCTTTGCAAGAAAATGGTAGAGTCATCGCCGGAATGCCGGTGATCGCAGTGACAAAAGGCCCGACAATTTTCACTTGCTCAATATCCGCATAAATTCTCCACGAAACATCTCGCGATATAATTCATCGCGAGCACGACTAACTAGGCCTTTGACGTGGAAAGAAATGACCGCTTGATGAACACCGAGAGCAATGTGTTCGGGCAAATTTACGACAGATTCCTCTCGGTCACGGGTTACGACCTCACCAACGAATTGAAATTTAAGGCAATTGGCCCATGCTACTGAAAATAGCCCGTCTAATGATACAGATATTCGAGAGCTGCGACTGACATCCAACAACGCACAAGAAAGGCACGTTCAAAAGTTATTCCGGTGAAAAAAGCATATCACGATGCTTAAAGTAGTAGGATTATGAAAAAGCGTTTTTCGCTCGCGTCGTTCAATTCCGACGGGTGCGACATAGTACGCGAGGCATTTTGCACGAACACCAAATTTATATGAAAGAAAACTAGGCTTCATGCTAAGCTGAGACGAAGTATAGTTTCATCACTTCGCGACACTGCGCGCAACTCTTAGTGGTATTTCAAAAGCACCTCCTTAAAAATGCCACTGAATACATGCGGTACTCGCTACCGCTTGTATACGGCCCTAAGGTGACACGAATACGCGGGAGCACACAGCGCGTGTGCTTCAAAATTTAAGTACGCGGTGCCAAAGACGCTGGCGCGAATTAGGTTACGCGAGAGCGCAGGCAGATTGAAAGTTAGGCATGGCCACAATCCTGTGTCATTGTTAGCTGCACATAATAAGCAAAAACTGTTTGGTGTGTTTGACTAGACTGCCGGCAGGTAGTCAATTCAAATCTTGGACCAGTGACAAAAGAAATCTTACCGCTCTTCTCGTCAAGGTTCAATAAGACAGCAGCTGTTTTGGGTCACTTCCTACCTGCACTACTGCACACTCACGACAAAAGTTTGGGCCATACTATTTGCTTTCCTTAAAAAAAAAAAAAAAAAGTTTTTTTTTCTTTTTTACAGTTACAGCTGTGAATCATAGCAATATCATAGAGGGGGGGGGATGAGGGCGCGGGCAGTTGAAACATCTAGAATTCACCCTTTACCACGCTGCGCAGCCGCGGAGTAGGTTGATGGGATAAATACTAGGTTCCCAGTGACTACCATCAGGAGTTTATAGATTCTTTAATGTTTTGAGGTTTATCGAAGCAACGCCTGTTTAGAGCATTTGTCGTGGGACGAAATTAGCACTGCCAATAGCAATGGCGCCAATGTCAGATCCGGCTGAATAAATATGAATGGATACAAGCGCGTTCCTTTTCATGGAGCATACGTTTACATCCGGATATATTTCCAATAAGAACACTGCAAAATTAAGCTGCGATTTTTTAAGAACTGTGAATCGAAGACAAATAAACTGCGACAAAATCCAATTTTACAGAAAAAAAAGCAATTAAACTTTGAAAACACGCAATTCTAATTTAGGGAATCTTCTGAGATTGGAAGCCAGAGCTTTGAGTTCCGGGAGCTCGGGCTGCCGCTTTAATCGCCAATTGAGGAAGCGCTACCATGGTCGCAATTTTTGGTGCGCGATCAACGAAGAGTTCAAAATATCGCTCGAATCAAACCAGGGCCGGCTCGCTAGAATCACCGTGTCGACTGAGTCTGTGTGAAAGAAAGCACTGCCAAAGCCAACGCACGAGCGGACTGGCACGGGACGTCGAGTCCCAACCGCTCGCGCGCCACAGTCTTGGCAAGCTTTTTTTCACACTGTCTAAACTAAGACGCGGATTCAGGTCTCCCCTTGTCGTACTTCTGATGAAGATTCCGTACACTTACCGTTCAACTTTCTTAGGAGGGCCTCCAAAATGGCGACCCATGCCTCTTGTCCGAGAGTTGAAGTTCGAGGTGTCCGTTCGGCGACTGGATTAGTCGCCAATTCGGTGTGTCTATTGAGGACGAAAGGTGTCCGTTCGAGGTGTCCGTTCGGCGACTGGACTAGTCGCCAACTCCGTGTGTCGAGTGAGGACGAAAGGTTATAGTCTTGGGAGAAAGTTGCGCCAAAGCACCACCTATGCCTTATCAGATTGTCCGGTTCAAACTGAATGAGTCACAGGGAAAGAGTGAATGTCCTCCACCCTGCGAACCCTTGGGTATGGTCCTTTGTTACCTCTTAGCAGTGTTGGAAAAGCACTTAGAAGAAGTTGTAGACAAACAAAAACAAAAAAAAAAGAGGGAAAGAAAAGATAACTTCTTTTGACCTAAGTGAAAAGAAGTGAAGCACTTAAAAAAAGTTATAGACAAAAAAAAAAAAAAACAGTGAAAGAAGGGATCACTTCTTTTGACCTGAGTCTGCTTGGAGGAGAGGCAAGACATTCACCTTCTGGTCCTCCAGACGGACATGAATTTCCGTGGAACGCATTTTTTTTTAAAGAAAATCTGGGCGCGTCAGCAGTCGAAAACAAAAGTGAAAGAACCTAGACAGACCAAAAGAAGAGACATAAGCGCGAAACACATATACGACGAAACCGTCCGATCCGACGTGCGGACTGCCGGAATGACCTTGGGGGAGAGGGTTTTCGTAGCATCGGAGAGCGTTGAAAACCGTCGCCTCCGACCGTCGCATTGCGCGGTCGAACGTCAGATCGGACGGTTTCGTCGTACATGTGTTTCGCGCTATAGATGTACGTTGGGGGTACGCGTGGCGTCAACGTTGTCATCCGTGTTTTTTATGGGACTTCAGCTGCCGCGCTTTGAGAACTAGTCTGACCACCGTGGATGGAAAAAGCTCTGGAGTAATTGTGTTTAATGACAAAAAGAGAGAACCCCTGAGGATACAAGACAGTGTAATAGACCATGTAGGAAAATACAAATATCTGGCAGTCTGGCTCAATGAGGAAAGGAAATATCTGGAGGAACATGAAGAGAATAAAATTAGAAAAGGGGAAATAAATAATCTATTATGAAACTCAAGGCATTATGGAACTATAATAGATATAAAGGGGTCAGATGTATATGTAAAGGTGTTATGGTACCAGTAGTACTTTTTGGCAAGGGGTTGCTTGCATGAACTCAAAGGTTCAATCAGGGTTAGAGATTTGACAAAAAAACCGTATGCAGATTGGCACTGGGAGCACATGGAAAAACACCAAATAAGGGAGTACAGGGGGACATGGGCTGGTCGTCTTTAAAGAGCAGGAAGGCAATTAATAAGTTGAAATTTGAACAATGGTTGCCCAAATGGATGACACGCGGTGGGCACGGAAGGCATTCAAGTATTTATGCGTGAAAAGTTTAAGTACAAATGAACAAACCGAACCCAAAACTTACATTTAAATTCCCACACAGTAGTGATGGGGTTGAGGAGACTACTATAGTACTAATAGAAAAATTAAAGCGGAAGAAAAAGAAAATAAAAAAAAAACGTGGGAGGTAGAAATGCAGGGAGTATAAGCTCTAACTATGTACAGGCCACAAAAACAGGACATAAGCAAGCAAAATGTTTTTGACAATTCACTGGGAAGTTTTCTAACTGTTTGAGGTGAGAACATGAGTTTTGAGGACGAGTACGTATAGGGCTAAATTTCAGGAGACAGACACATTATATGCCGCTTGCCATAATGTGAGCGAGACACTAGAGCACTTGCTTTTGCAGTGCGCGGGGCTTCGCCCTGCCCTCTCTGAAGGGGTAAAGGATTTGGCCGAGGCCCTGGGTTTTCCCGGCGACGATGGAAGGACGGAAGTGAAAAGGATTACAGTCACAAAGAAGCAATACATTTAATGATGCACAACTAACACTGGTGGGGACAGGCGGAACAGAGGAAAATTGGGACTCCCTCCGGTGTGGCTCCTGTGCAAAAAGTCCCATGTCTCCCAGTGGGTCTGGTGCTGGGATAACGCCAACTAGGTTTGAGCAGAGAAATATTGGCGACACTCTCGCCGAGGGGAAGAGGCGGGGGTGATGTTTTTAGTTTTCTTGGCCGATCCCCCAAAGGTACCCTGGTGATATCTTACACGGCCTGGTGATAGTTAAGGGAAGAAAATTGGCTTATAGAAGCATGGGAGGAATCATATTTTTGTATTTTTAGACTTAGGTTAACTGGCACAAGCTACCACCCGTTACAAAGAGTATAGGCAATAACATCCATCCATCCATCCATTTTTTGGCGGCGGACTGGAAACCGTGGGTACGCCTCAGCAATGCTTGACCGTCGGACGATCTGCCCACAACAGCAGCGGACGCTACTCGCCGTCCCAGCCAATCTCGCTCTGTGAACGCATCACGTGAATGCGTGCGCTGTTCTTCGGCCCACTCGTCTGGAGGGCGGGCGGCGGAGAAAAGCTCACCCCAAAACTGTTCGATGCGGAGAGAAGCTCACCGGCCTTTTGACGGATGGGGAGAAAAGGTCACCTACGAATCTAAGAATCGAACGTTCACTCATGCGAAACACGTTCACTCATCCGAAGTATGCTGGGACGCCTTATGCGCATGCGGTCATTCTGCACTCGTAGCTTCCGATCGGAAGCCTTGTATTTCATCGCTTATTTCTGTTTGTAAAATCCTCGGACAAGTTGTAATCAAATAATAACGATAAAAAGGAAAGTTGTCGCAGATTTAACAAATATTAAAAAAATAACGAAGGATCGTGACCCTAAACGAGGCCAAGGATTGCTTTCACACTGTCAAGCGCGAAAGTAGAGGCGTCCGCTGAGGTAGGTGATAGAGTGACGATTGAAAGCGTGCTTTTGATCTTCTCGCCAAATACGCTTTCGTGTGGAGCGACGGAAAGTTTTTGAAGGTGTTCGGTTTAGAGGTGGCACGAGAGAAACGACGACAATTAAATTCCTGTACTTTTTTATTTCTTAATCAGGCATAATTTCCTGTGTTTACAAGCACTACGGGCAACCTTAAAAAAATATTATTGCAGTTTACAGTTTTGAGGATTCCAGTGTGAGGAAAAGAACAATGTAGTTATGACGTCATGAGACTCATAGAAGCAGGCGCCTTGAAGAATTGAAAGCACTTAGCTGGCGGGAAGGGTGCAACATTTAGAGTATGCGCAGACAAAGACACAATGCAACCGCTAAAAAGAAAGATAAAAAAAAAAAAAAACTGAAGCAGACACAGGATGTTGGAAGGCGTGGTGGCCTTTCTTGACACTTTTATCGTGACACCGAAGTTCGAACTTCCACATTCTCTGTTGTAGAGTGCGCGAGGGGGGGGGGGGGGGGGGGGGCTTAGAATATCAGAATAGAATCAACCACAAGGCAGACATTTGCTTATATTTAATAACAAAAAGGATAACAACGGAATTAGGCATTCCTTGCGTCTAATTTCTGTCTTCCTTAGAGTGGACATCCCGGGGTGCGGCAACCGAAGCCTCCCATCGTCTTTTCTACACGCTACGGCGATCCGACGTACGGTGCCTGAAAGAGAACCCGTAAATAGAAGGAGCGGTTCACGTTTGTTTATCATCCTGCGACTTCAAAATGCACAGAAGGCGGTACTATGACGAGACAGGGTCCAGACCCGCTTTGCGATGTGGTTTTTCTGTTTCCTTAAGCCAGGGCCACACTGCTTGTAATCCATACAAAAGACAGTGTGCAAACATTTCGAAAAAAAAAAAAAAAAACCCACGAGACTGGGACAATAAGGGACGGACAAACATAAAGTCTCTGTTGAGAGTCGAGACTTTGCGTTTGTCCGTCCCTTATTGTCCCAGTCTCGGGTTTTTTTCCGAAATGTTTAACCACCACCAGTTCGTTTGTGTTCTTAAGCCTAGTTCAGACAGTTGCGTTTGACTGCTTTTGACTGCGTTGCGGCAGAGAGAAACCACGACATCCCTGCTGCTTATATCGCGTGCCATGATGATTCCTTGAATTGGAGTCCCCGCTTCATACGAAGCACAGATGTGCCGGTGACTCGCTTTCGGTTCTCGACGCAACGCAGTCAAACGCAAGTGTCTGAACCGGCCTTTACCTTTTGTTCACAGTGCGCAAACATGCGTCACCGCAACGTCCGTGGCTTAAATGCCGCGTGCCAAGTTTGCCCCTCGAACTCATTGCCATGCGGCGTTTGAAGCACGGATCTCGCGGTGCCTCGCGTTCGATTCCGTATGCAGACTGTCTTTTGTAGGATGTATAACCGATGCGACTCTTTCTTCAGTGCTCTGCAGTGGGAGACGGCCCATTCGCCACATGCCCATTCGTCATAGGGCAACTAGTATCAGGCCAGTTTGGCACAGCGGAACATTCGTCATAGGGCGATTCGCCACCCGGACGACCTGTCACACAATAGTTACAAGATAGTAGGGAGTTTCGGAATAACGTACGTGATTTTAGTGCGCGCTAGCACTAAATTCAGCGCTTGCGTTAGCGCATGCAACGCAAGAAAGTTTTGGAATAGCGTTTCTCCGCTGCGACGCAAAAGCCAAGCATTCCGCGCTTGCAACGCCACCAAGATACAGTCACAGTTTTTATTTCACACACGAAATGCTGTAACTTTTAGATTTGTTTAAACGGGAGAATGCGACGCGAGCAGTCGACCGGTCATGTCCGCTTGCCCCGTCTCGGCAAGAGGACTCGTCTCGGCAAAAGGACGCACAGGCTTCCGTGCGGCGGCTATTTCAATTATTAGTTTTCTGAGCGTGGAGGGCCAGCAGAACGCGCGGGTATCCGGCGTTTGTGAGGCGGCTGAGCTGACCCTCCAGGGCTAGATGGGGAGAGGTGTTGGCAGGACTTTATGCGGGTAGAGGAGATGAGACTTTTTGCGATGCCTGCTTTTACAGTCTTTGAGTGGTGGCTTGAAAATGACAGCACCGGCTTCTGCGACCGCTGCCGGAAGCGCCAGCAAGTGCCTCCCTGGGTGGCTACGAGGCGTACATCCAGGAACTGGAGACCCTCCGCCGAGGGGTCCTCCCTGGTGAAGCTCAGGCCGTTTGCGTTGTCTGTGAAGGCCTTCTGGATGGTGGCGGTGGGCGCGCCAGAGTCGTGGAGCACCAGATAATCGT